TCGCTGGGCTGGGCAGCTCGCCGTGTCATGGATCCAAGCCCTCAGTACTGCAGCACAAAAGCAGACCTGCCAAACCCAGGGGGGAAACGCAGAAATTGGGCTTGTTTCTGGCTTAATTGGCTTGTGAGCTGCTTGTTGGCTAGTTTTTGGCTTGTAGCTCGTTTGGCTCATAGCTTGTTGCTTTTTTGTTGTTGTTGTTGTTGATCGGCTCCCAGCAAGCAGGGGCAAGGTGGGGAGAGAGTCAGGGGTGCAGCGGGCCCAGCCCCGTCCCAGACTGCAGGCCGGGGGATCTAGTCACATAGAGTGTTGGGGTTCTTAGGGACTGGCTTGTTCTGAAATGGGATTCGCTTGATTTTTGGCTTATTGTGAAAGTCGGGGGGCTTATTTACCAGCTGTGCACCAAAGGCTGGCCCCAGCTCGAGGGGCGTTGCGCTCCCTGCTGTCTCCCAGAGGGCTGGGCTGCTCATCCCCATTTTTCTGGGAGGGAAGGCCCTGGCGCAGACCTGGAAGCGGGAGCGTTTGAGTCGGGCCTGAGCAGAGCCTCACGGGCAGTGCGGGAGACAGGGGAGCACGGAGCTCTGGGAGGGGAGCAGCAGGCACATGGGACATCATCCCCCATTCTGCATCCTGGGCTGGAACCCTCAGGTTTGGGTCAAGAATCTCTTTCCCATCCTGGGGTGGGGGTGGGGGAATAGACAGACCCAGCCCTGCCCCCCCTCCCCCACCGAGCCCTCTCCCATACACTGCTGCAGCCCCAGGGAGGCTGTGAAGAGATAACAGTGGGTAAAGGGCCCGGTTTCTCCCGCCCCTGGCCAGGCACCATCCCACAAGGGTTCATTGCTTTGGAGCTGTGCAGGCCCAACGTGAGACCTGCTCCTTAGGGGGGCCAAGCCCCCACTGCTCCTGGCTGCAGATGGGGGGGGGGCTCAGCCAGGCCCCGCCAGTGGCCGCTGTGGAAAGCAGGGGGGCCCTATTCTGTAGCAAACCACGCACTGGAGCTCAGGGCAGTCGAGAGGCCCTAGCATCCCGTCGGGGGCTGGAGACCGTCGGGCTCGGGGGCGGGGGAACGGGGCACTTCTCAGTGAGCCCCGTGGTCAGAGCCACACAACACAGTTCAGGAAATTGATCCACCTCCCACAGCAGCGACTGTGAGCGCCTGAAAAAATATCCAGCCACAGCAGGGTTAAAAAGTCACAGCACAAAATGATTTTATTCTGTAAACCATCTGTTATGGAGGGTCTCTGGCACCCCCTCCTTTAAGCATTGCAGCATGGCTAAGGAACAAAGCCTCCCTCCCCCACCCCCGACATGTCTCTGCAGAACAAGAGGACACGGTGAGCAGCAATTCTGAGGGAGACGCAGCCTGCAGGGTGCCCCATGGCACCGAGAGGGGCAGGGCAGTGGGAACTGGCTTTGGGACGGGAGACAGGTGCTCTCCAAGCCAGGACACAGCCAGCCACTCCAGAGCCAACCCCCTAAACACCACCCGGGTCACAGTAGCCGGCACAGCCTCAAGGCACCTCTGCCTCCATCACCTTCCCCCTGGTGCCGCAGCAGCCCGGACCCCAAGGGACGTCCCTGCCGAAGGGCCCACGGGTGCCAACACCATTAAGGGCCCCAAGGCAAAGGCCAACAGGGAGGCGGGTGGAAGAGGGCTCAGAGCAACCACTCCGCACCCCTGGGCCTGGTGGCTGGTGCTGGGGAGGGGAGGGAGACTCGCGCCCTCACTCCATAGCGCTCCCCTCTGGCGGGGTGAGGAGTGCCGCTGAGAGGCTGACGGGCCAATCAGGCCTTGAGAAGAGCCTCAGAGCTCCATGAAGGATGGGGGGGGAGGGAGCCCAGAGCCAAAGAGGAGGAACAAGACCCTGCCATGCACAAAATCCCCGAACGCTTGCTGTGAAACTCCCCCCACCCTCAAAGCAGGGATCCTCCTTCCCCTCAGCGGCTTGTCCCCTGGAGCCGCATGGCCTGGCTGCTAACCCAGCAGGGACGGAGATTTCGGCAT